ACAGTACAGTTATGATATAACCTAGTGCTAATAATCCAATAGCTTGATTTCCCTAGAGATAAGTAAAAAGTATCTTTGTATGGCTTGGATTTTCCCAGCAATATTTAAGAACCTAGAAAAGGTATTGTGTTGTAGGTTTCTAAAAAAATGTTTCTGTGGGTAAATTTTCTTGGCCAAAAGGATAAATTGTGTTAATTGCCAAACACTAAGAATCTTCCTTCCCTCTGCCAATTGGCATTGCTTTGGATTTTTCTGTAACAATGCACATCAGCTAGATTTCCTTCCTGATCATAATTCCATCTTGGGGTAAGGGAAGAGAGAATGGCAATGCTTATATCTGCAGACAAAAAAATTACACTCATGAAGAGACTCAATTTAAAAACATAACTTATAGGAGAAAACTTAGATGACCTTGAGTATGCTGCTGACTTTTTAGATATAACATCATAGTCATGATTCATGAAAAAAATAATAAGCTGGACTGATTAAAATTAAAAACTTATACTCTGCAAAAACAGTGGGAAAATAAGCTACACACTGAGAGAAAATATTTGCAATAGACACATCTGAGAACTCTTATTCAAAATATACAAAGAACTCTTAAAACTCAACAATAAGAAAACAAAAAACCCAGTTGAAAATGGCTCAAGTATCTCAACAGACATCTCACCAAAGAAAATACACAGATGGCAAATAAGCATATGAAAAGATGCTCCACATCATTTGTAATCAGGGAAATGCAAATGAAAGCAATATGGTTCCACTAATGCTTATTAGAAAGACCAAAATCTGAACACTGACAATAGCAAATGCTAGTGAGGATGTGGAGCAACAGGAATGCTCATTCATTGTTCATGGGAATAAATATGGTATAGCCACTTTGGAAGACAGTTTTGCAGTTTCTTGTAAAACTAGATATTTCCTACCATACAAGTCAGCAATTATGGCTCCTTGGTATTTACCCAAGAGAGTTGAAAACTTATATCTACACAAAATCTTACACACAGATGTCTATAGCAGTTTTATTTATAATTGCCAAAACTTAGAAGCAATTAATATGCCCTTCAATAAATAAATGGATAAATTAACTGAAATACATTTTCTTCTAGACAAAGGAATCCTATTCAATACTAAAAAGAAATAAGCTATACAGCCATGAAAAGGAAGAAACTGAAATGCATACTACTAAACAAAAGAAGCCAATTTTAAAAGGTTATGTATTGTATGATTCCAACTATGTGACATCCTGGAAAAGGCAAACTATGAAGATAGTCAAAAGATCAGTGGCTTCCAGGGTTTGGGGGTGAAGGGAGCAATGACTAGGCAGAGCACAGAGGATTTTTAGGGCAGCAACAATGCACGTTATGCTATTATAATGATGAGTACATGTCAATATACACTGTCTAAACCCTCAAAATGTACAATACCAATATTGAACTGTAAGGGAAGCTACAGACTTCAGGCGATTAGGACGTGTCTGTGTAGGTTCATCAGGTGCAACAAATGTACCAGTCTTGTGAGGGATATTGAGATATTGATAAAGAGGGTGGGGGCTATGCATGTTGACGGGGGTGAGGGGGTATGAAGTACATGGAAAATCTCCATACCTTCCTCTCAATTTTATAGTGAATCTAAAGCCATTCTGAAAAAAAAAAAATCTTGAAATACATACACATATGCACACATTCATGTGCATGCACACTTATCCAGTTTAGAGAATCCAGTGGTTGAGAGCAGAATATATAAAAGCCAGAACTCAGTCTACATTTATGATGGTAAGAAATCCATACTAGATAAAATCAGCATGAGTATGCCACTATGTTGGTAAAATCCTATGTAAAACATGATATTTTGTTTTATTTATCTGCCTTAAGAAGTTGCCCCAAAACAGTTTTAAGGGCCCTCATTTAAAGTTTTAAACATGATCTGCTCCACCTGCAAAATGTTGCATGGACTGCTTCTGGGAGCTACAGCTAAGATATTTAAAAGTTATGAGCCAAGGTATCTCTCCTTGGAGGTGATGAAACCTACCATACCATAATGTGGTAAGTCAGGGGTACAGTTGGAAGGTGTCTCCATTAGAGAACAATGGTGGATTCCACCCTGCTGGGACCTCAGCTTGCCTTACAGGGGAGCATCCTTGGTTCCAGTCCTTGGAGAGTCAATCTAGCCTCCCCAGGTCACTTTTATGAGGTTACATAAAGCTTCCTTATTAATGCTTCTCAAATTTCTTTAGTTTTTAAACTAAACATTTTGCAGGTGGAGCAGATCGTGAAAGCAGATTTTTGTAACTAAAGAAAAATCCCCCTTTTGGTTGAGGAGGCTGCATAATAGTGCAAACTGGAGATCACACCCTGGTCTACACTAACTCAGCAACTCAAAGACGAAGCAGAAAGAATCGCAGGCCAGACTGTCCTCACTCCCTACAAACCTGCTTCTGGCTCAGCTGGGTGTCCAGTGGACTGACTCATGTAATTACCCCATGGGAATCAGCCCCATGAAGACGGGACTGCCTTTAAATGCCATGGATGAATCCTTAAGCTCCATTATTTATTTTAATAAAACATGGCTGTGCTTGTTTAGTGTTTGTATTTGTTTTAACAGTAACCAAAACTATATGGACTCTGATTTTCAATGAATGCATGTTAATCACACAGAGGGATATAATTAATTGGTCTAGTTGAGGAAGCTTTCAGTTCTCAAACACTCTGTCCCTCTTGCTCCCTGGAGTCCTCTCACTCTGCTGTTTTTGGCCATGCAGACATTTAAATTATTTTAGCTTTTTTTTTTTTTCTCTCACAGCAAGTATCAACAGGGACTTTCATGATCCTCCTATAAAGGGATAACAAAAGTAAACACTGGCTCTTTTATCATTTGCACTCAATTAAGTTTCCTAATATGAAGTTTTCTTGTGAAGGTCTATCTGGGTTTATCAAATATAAAATGATAAAGCTTATAACTCCTTTGCATCCAAACACTGCAGAGGCTTCTTCTAAGGCCGTTGGTGCCTGTGTTCACGACTTACTGTTATGTGGGTAGGTGCTTTCACTCTCTGAGGACTTCTTGGCTTAGATATTAAATCATGATCAGATACACGCCCTGAGTGACATTTTTCTCTTCTTAATTCCCACATAAAACTCCCACTGAAGAGATGGAGAAGATTCATGTGTGTGGGAGACTGACTTGGTATTCGCAAAGGTTTTTAACCAACAAGGAGGAGTTGCATTTTGTCTGCTCACGAGGCATCAACGCATATAATAATCTCCCCTCCTGGCATCAACAACCCAATTTCAGTTCAGAAACTAGAATGATTAGTATTGCACGTGCTCCAGAATATAGGCATACAGTCTCTATTAAAAGCATTTGGTTTTTCTAGAATTTAACAGCACAACTATTAATGTAAAGCAATCTCGATGTGGCAAAATCCTACGCAGCTTGAAAACTCAGCAGTAGGAGTTGAAATCAGCCTGCCCAGCTGACAAGTGACTCAATACTAAAGTTTAATTGTCTTTGCTGTTTGCCAGTAACTAGAAGCAGGTACTTATCTACACCTCACCATGCTGGTTCACCAGCATTTTTCAGTTGGGAAAGTAACTACGTGAACTACAGTGGCTATGCTGGATGAAAATAGGTGTATTATCATTGGCATTTTGGGCAAGCCTTTGGCATTTTACTGCTCTGGCTTGGCACACAAAAGCATTGCACTATGTGTGAAGAGATCAGCCAAGATGATGAGATGCTGGCCTCCCTCCAAAATTTCAAGTGGCTTACACCCAGTATCGGCTAGAAAGGCACTTGTTCACGCATAGGTTGACATTCTCAGCTTAGAAAAGCCTGGGAACTTACCTTCTTTCAGTCACTCACACTCTTACACACGTTTACAAATATAAAAGTTGATTTCTATTATAAAACACTGTTTCCAACAGGAGGCTAAATCATGAACTAAACTCAGAGAATAAAGATTACTGATTTATGTGATTGAATAATATTCCATGTTTAAATTTTGAGTCATGAAACAGTGAAGGCTTTGAACCCTGAGTACTAATGTATTTTACTTAAGCTCTCAATTTTTCAGTTATGTCATTAATATTTTAGAACAAATAAAATCCCCAGGAAATTATAAAAAATCATTTCAATCTTTCTGTCTATTGTCTCTCCTCACAAGCCCCCTACCAAACCACTAACAGGTGGAAGAATGACTATGTTTTATCTCCTCTATTTTTCTCTCTTCCCAAGAACTGACTATGAATAGGAAAATAAACCAGCAATGAATGGGAGGAGCCATGAGATAACTGATCTCCTGAAAAAATCAAGAGCAAGAAGTAGTTCTCTGAAGAAAATAGCTTCCCTGTGGTAAATGAAGAGGATATTTTGCTCCACACAAGGCTTCTTGATTAGAAGAAACTCTGTTCTATGAAACAATAAACCTGACAATGCATTAATAGTTAGAATACTGGGGACCACTTCAGGCCATCAGTGGCCTTGGGCAAACCACTTGACCTTTTGAAGCTTCAATTTCTTCACCAGGATTCAGTTTACTTATTTTTAAGTACCCTCATACACCTGAATTCTTTATCATAACCTTTGGACTGCCATTTGTACAATGACTTTGCTATTGCACTTTCCTGGAAGAACTGGGCAATCAAATTCTCTCACTTTATCCTCTTATTTACAAATCCAGTGGTGAAGCCAAGATGGTGTTCATGCTTCCCTGTGCCTTTTTCAGAAGGAGAAATGTGTCTTCTTTTCCACACTATTGAGTTCTCTTATGGCTTTTAAAATTAGCACAGAATATCTGTAATATCAAAAATACATAGAAATGTATTTGCCACCACCAATAAACGACTGGATAGCACTCTCATTCCCTCCATTCCAGATCTTTGCATCTTTTTAAGATGTCATGGCCCTAGACAAATAATATTATGTTTTGACATGGTATTTTTTTGGTATAAGCCACTTTAGTATATAAATATACCACATTAGGATGGTAATTCTTAGTACTTACTTATCCAGAATTGCCTTGATGCTCCTTCTTGTATTCAAGGTTCAGGAAAGGAAAAAGTGCTTCTATACTAAAGGAAAAGAAGAAAAAATCTCTTTACCTACCCTATCTCAGCCTCAATCACAATTAATAACCATCTAACTACTTTCCAAAGCAGTCTTTTTCTTTAACATTACATTTATCACACCACAAAACAATGACCGTCTGGATCCTTTGAAATCCTGATAAGGCATTCTTATCTCCTATCACTAAAGTCTTAACGCTTTCAGAATAAATCATATTTATAATAAGGAAAGAAAATTTATTATAATGGAGTAGGTCTCCCAGCACCTAGAATAAAGTACTAATTGAAATAGATCAGAGGATCTCAGAACTATAATAGCTGTTACTTATTTACACAAATCTTGTGCTTCCCTGGTCGCTCAGAGGGTAAAAAATCTGCCTGCAATATGGGAGACCTATGTTTAATCCCTGGGTTGGGAAGATTCCCTGGAGAAGGAAATCTCCTTCCAGTGTTCTTGCCTGGAGAATCCCACACACAGAGGAGCTTGGCCAGTTACAGTTCATGGGGTCACAAAGAGTCATTCACAACTGAATGACTAATTCACACACACACACACACACACACACACACACAATATGCCTTTAACTTGAGCCGGTTTATTCTGTGGCCAAATAAAAACAATTTCTAGACAACCCAGGTTGATTCATGGTCAGTGTCCCAGGAGCCCTGGCTTCATTTCTCCTTTGACTCTCACACCTGCATTGGTCTTACATTCACTTGACTTGAGGATACTGAATTTATTGTGGAATTTTGACCCCATACACTTACCTCTTGGATACATTTTGTTGTTAACCCCCAATTCTGGACACAAGTGGGCATAAACTCAAGTCTTATTCTACCTCAGGTCACAGAGGAAGTGACTTTCCTGATCTAAGTCCAATCCCAGAGCCAATGCAAAGGCAGGTCCTTTGTTTTATGCTCTGACAGTAGCTTAGTGGTCCTCTTGCAGAGGGATTGGCCCCTGTTCAGCCACCAGTAGGATATGAGGCCAATCAGCCCACAAAGGTTATGGCTGAGCACTGGGCTAAACGTACATATGGAATCAGTACAACATGACAGACCAAAGAATGCGGTCTGGCTGGGGATTTCTGAACTAGTTCTGTCAATTCACTTAGTGTGCACTTGGCATATTGTTATAAGGAAGGGAAAAGAAAAGGAGAGGAAATAAAAGTGATTCCAAATATAAACAGATTCATATCCACTCCTTTATTAAATATTTACCAATCCAGAAATCATCTTATATTAGTGGTTCTTTTGTTACACATTGAAATCACCTGTAAAGCTTTAAAAAACAAACAAAAAAACAAATTCCTGGTTCCCTCCTACAGATTCTTATTTAATTTGTTTAGGGAAGAGCCAAGATATAGGAATATTTAAATATCCAAGTTTAGAATTCAGTACTTCTCGAAATTGGTGTATAAAAATCACCTGGCAATTTTGTATATTTTGTTCACACTTGCAATTCCTAGTGTCAAAATAGCAACTGAATCTACAAATCCTGATTCTGGAGATGAGCACTGGGAGCACGGAGAGATTAAATAATGCACATAAAGTCACAGAGTCAACAGGTGGCAGAGTGGGGATTCACACTCTGGTGTCTTAGCTTTGGTTCTTCTATCACAGAACAGGCCTCCAGTTTAAGAGAAGATCTTTTCTTCTGAATTCCATTATGTTCACCATGGCAAGTCTACCTCTTGCCTCTACTGGGTGTGGCTAAAATTAGTTTAAAAAACAAAATGAGAACTTGAGCGTGGAGACCTAGGTCTAGGATAGAAAAAGCAGTGTCCTTGTGCACACATAAATTGTTTCATTCTTTCGGTGATGTTGAGTGCTAAGTGCGATTGATCCCCTGAAATTTAGTAAGGTTCTCCAGGGGTCCAAATCACAAAACCAGTGTCTCACTTTGAGAACTTGAATTCAAGTGCTCAGATTCTACTTCTGGTAATTTTTAACTCTACACTTACCTCTTTAAGTTATAAAGCTTTCTTCTCTTTAATTCCTGATGATTTTAACTTACTTAAACTACGTAAGCAAAGATATTACATCTTTTCATTCATCTCTCAGTATATATTTATTTTGTGCCTGTTACCATCATTCATGAGTTCTGGAGACAGAGAAAATCCCTAGCCCTGAAAAGCCCAAGGCCTCAGCTGAAGGACAGATACAAAAACAAAGAACAACAACAACAAAGGAGATGGTGGTCCCATCAAGCTGTATCTGAGACCCATGCAACAAAAGCAAAAATTCTTCTTGAAGGATCTGGGAAGGTTTTTCAGAAGATCCCATACAGAGCATGTTCAATGATGTCTTCATGACAACATGCTGGGAGCCTCATGGGGCTGCCTTCTTTTTCACGGCCCCCTCTAACCTGTGTTCTGCTCATATAGTTTAGAGTCCTCCAGTTTTCTCACTCTTCAGTGCCTCTGTTCATCCTGGATGCCCTTCAATTTCTTTTCTTCCTGAATCAGATCTGTACCTCTATTACTGGTTATGCAAGCCTCATCTTTTAATGAAGCCTCTTCTGACCACCACCCAATCACCAGCACTCCCTTTCTGCCTGAACTGTATCCCATCTCAAACTTATATTCATAAAATACTTATGTCATTTTTCCTGAATTGCTACATCTTGGTCTCCCTCTAGCAGACTAGAAACCATGTCTTCAGAGACTATATATCATCTGTTAGTCTCTGTGTATAGATTTTGATGACCCCATAGTGTGCTTTTCAAGGTGATCATCTTCAGTGGTTCATTTGTTCACCAGTTTCCAAATACTTGTATGGATCAGTTGTACTTAACCGAAGAGTACAACATAACAATGGTGAAGAATCTGTGTCTGTGATTAACCACAGAGCTCAGAGCAAATGAAACATTTATAGGCAGCAAGAACAGAAGTGAACACAGAGTGACAGAGAAATAAATAGTAATAATTCCTGGCATTTGTACACCCTTTTTCTAACCCCAAATTCTTTCACATACCTTACCAGAAATGCTGAAGAAGCTGACGTTGAATGGTTCTATGAAGACCTACAAGACCTTCTAGAACTAACATCCAAAAAAGATGCCCTCTTCATTATAAGGCACTGGAATGCAAAAGTATGAAGTCAAGAGCTACCTGGAGTAACAGGTAAATTTGGCCTTGGAGTACAAAACTAAGCAGGTCAAAGGCTAACACAGTGTTGCCAAGAGGACACACTGATCGTAGCGAACACCCACTTCCAACAACACAAGAGAAGACTCTACACATGGACATCACCAGATGGTCAATACTGAAATCAGATTTATATATTCTTTGCAGCCAAAGATTGAGAAGCTCTATACAGTCAGCAAAAACAAGTCTGGGAGCTGACTGTGGCTCAGATCACGAACTCCATATTGCCAAATTCAGAATTAAATTGAAGAAAGTAGGGAAAACCACTAGACTATTCAGGTATGACCTAAATCAAATCCCTTATGATTATACAAAGGAAGTGACAAGTAGATTCATGGGATTAGATCTGAAAGACAGAGTGCCTGAAGAACTATGGACGGAGGTTCATGATATGGTACAGGAGACAGGGATCAAGACCATCCCCAAGAAAAAGAAAGGCAAAAAGGCAAAATGGTTGTCTAACAAGGCCTTACAAATAGCTGAGAAAAGAAGAGAAGCTAAAGGCAAAGGAGAAAAGGAAAGATATACCCATTTGAATGCAGAGTTCCAAAGAATAGAAAGGAGAGATAAGAAAGCCTTCCTCAGTGATCAATGCAAAGAAATAGAGGGAAAAAATAGAATGGAAATGTCTAGAGGTCTCTTCAAGAAAATTAGAGATACCGAAGGAACATTTCATGCAAACATGAGCACAATAAAGGACAGAAATGGTATGGACCTAACAGAAGCAGAAGATATTCAGAAGAGGTGGCAAGAATACACAGAAAAGCTATGCAAAAAAGATCTTCATGACCCAGATAACCACAATGATGTGATCACTCACCCAGAGCCACACATCCTGGAATGTGAAGTCAAGTGCACCTTAGGAAGCACCACTATGAAAAAGCTAGTGGAGGTGATGGAATTCTAGTTGAGCTATTACAAGTCCTAAAAGATGATGCTGTGATAGTGCTGCACTCAATATGCCAACAAATCTGGAAAACACAGCAGTGGCCACAGGACTGGAAAAGGTCAGTTTCATTCCAATCCCAAAGAAAGGCAATGCCAAAGAATGCTCAAACCACCACACAATTGCACTCGTCTCACACGCTGGCAAAGCAATGCTCAAAATTATCCAAGCCAGGCTTAAACAGTACATGAACCGTGAACTTCCAAATGTTCAAGCTGGAGTTAGAAAAGGCCGAGGAATAAGAGATCAAATTGCCAGCATCTGCTGGATCATCAAAAAAGCAAGAGAGTTCCAGAAAAACATCTACTTTTGCTTTATTGACTAAGCTGAAGCCTTTGACTGTGTGGATCACAACAGACTGTGGAAAATTCTTAAAGAGATGGGAATGCCAGACCACCTGGCCTGCCTCCTGAGAAATCTGTATTCAGGTCAAGAAGCAACAGTTAAAATTGTACATGGAGAAGCAGGCTGGTTCCAAATGGAGAAAGGAGTACGTCAAGGCTGTATATTGTCACCCTGCTTATTTAACTTATATGCAGAGTATATCATGTGAAATGCCAGGCTGGATGAAGCACCAGTTGGAATCAAGTTTGCTGGGAGAAATATCAGTAACCTCAGATATGCAGATGGCACCACCCTTATGGCAGAAAGTGAAGAGCTAAAGAGCCTCTTGATGAAAGTGAAAGAGGAGAGTGAAAAAGTTGGCTTAAAGCTCAACATTCAGCAAACTAAGATTATGGCATCTGGTCCCATCACTTCACGCCAAATAGATGAGGCAACAATGGAAACAGTGACAGACTTTATTTTGGGGGGTTCCAAAATCACTGCAGATGGTGATTGCAGCCAGGAAATTAAAAGATGCTTGCTCCTTGGAAGAAAAGCTATGACCAACATAGACAGCATATTAAAAA